AGATGATTGTCTCATATCTAGGGCCAAATTTACTCTACCAAATTTATCAGAGTTAGCTTTAGCTCAAAGGGATAAACCAACCCGGTTTTTTGGGCCCTGAAAAGGGAAAACCATAGATCTATGGGAAAGGGCCCTGAAAGGGTTTTAAAGAAAACAAAAAAAAATTTTGGGGTGGGAAAAAACAAAATTAAGAAAGCAAGGGAAAGAAAGGATTTTTCCAGTTAAAAAAACCTTTAATATTACGGATTGCGAAAAGATTTAGGAGTTTTGGCTAGCAGTAATCTGAAACCAAGACAACAGTGCATAAGTGTTTGCAATAAAGCTAACAGAATCCTTGGCTTCATATCAAGAAGCATAAATAATAGGAGTCCTCAGGTTGCCTCATTTAGACTATGCTTCACAGTTTTGGTCACTGTATTACAGAATGGATATAAATGCTCTGGAAAACGTACGAAGGAGATGACAAAGTTGATCCATGTATCAGAAATCTTCCCTATGAGGATAGACTGAGGGCCCTGAATTTGCACTCACTAGTAAGGCATAGAGTAAGGGGGGATATGATGGAGGTGTATAAATGGAAGATAGGAATAAATAAAGGGGATGTAAATAGTGTGCTGAAAATATCTAGCCTAGACAGGACTTGCAGCAATGGTTTTAAGTTAAAAAAATTCAGATTCAGGAAGGATATAGGAAGCACTGGTTTGGTAATAGACTTGTGGATGAGTGGAACAAACTCCCGAGTACAGTTATAGAGACTAAAACGTTGTGTAGTTTTAAAAATAGGTAGATAAATACATGAGTGGGTGTGATGGGTGTGAAGTTGGATGACCTATTACCTTGTGCTTCTATAGGTCCAGTTGGCCGTGTTCCATAAGAAAATGAGACCTGACCTGACTAGTGTTGGGGCATTCCTCATTAAGCCGGTAGGAGACTTGGAACCTGCCTCGCATGGCCAGTAGCCTGCTGCAGTTTTCCCTTCTTGCCTTATGTTCTTAATGTTTTGTACCACAAGCTTCCCTTTATCTGCCTTTCTTGTGGGCCAAGATAGTTAGCAATGGTTGATGGGTATTGTTATACAACCTGGCCAGCAGGAGGCACCGCACTCCACTTTCATAAATAGCAATTACTCTTGTCTTCAATTCGATTGTAATACTTACCCATTTTACCACAGGTGTTGCACTAGAAGCTTTCTGAGGCCCAAGGTACTTGATTTAGCAGTTACAAGCACTAATAACAAATGAAATAATACAAAATGTATTGAATGTATGGGTGGAACCGTCCCGCACTGGCTTGTAAACAATGGCACACAAGCTTGAAGGCAGGACAGCTGAGGCGTGCTCAAGGCCAGACAGACAGGGGGAGCTGTGTTCAGGATGAATGTCCCTTAACTGGTTTTTCATCGTAGGCCGATTTTAATCACTAGCCAAGGGTCCAACTGTAATATTAAGTATTCATCTTCATCTTTCCCATTTTCATATATGTTATATCGTATTTTTATTGATGAATTATATTGATCGTTCACACATGGTAACGACCAATTTATGGTTTGTGTGGCTTCAGCCTCTGCACTACTCACCTGATGCGAGCTGACATCAGGGTGTAAGAGGGTGGGTTAATAACCCTTTCAGGGTCCAAAGGCAATATCTGTAAGGGGGCCCCAGTGTCCAATAAATTTTGAAAAAAAAAAAAAAATTACTACAGAATTAAAGATATATTTTTTGTGAAGGTAATAAAACAAAAAAAAATTTCTGATCGTCTTATACCGAGATACAGAGCCGAAGGAAGTTGACTCCAAAATGACCTGGTGGCGGCAACATCGCGATTTCCATAAACTCGCATTTCTTTATGTATTTCTATACTTTTTCTTTCTAATTTTTTATCTTTTTTTCTAGTAACATTTGTGGCCTGTGAGACCAATAACTGTATTTAATATATATATATATATAATATATATACAGTTGGACCCCCCGCATAAACGATTGGCATCAACATAGCGATTATTTCGCATACCTCTTACCTTAATAAATCGCAAAAATTTTTGCCGCGCATACCGTGATTAAAAACCCGCTCACTGACGATTTCGTCCCGAGACGCGTCCAATGTGCGCCCTAGTCCGAGCCTCACATGTGCCGCCCATTCCATTGTTTTACCACCAACCTCCGCGGTAACATCCTAGCATACACATCGGAATATTTCGTATTATTACAGTGTTTTCGTGCTGTTTCTGGAAAATAAGTGACCATGGGCCCCAAGACAGCATCTAGTGCCACCCTACACCAATAAGGGTGAGAATTACTATAGAAATGAAGAAGAGATTATTGATAAGTATGAAAGTGGGAGTGCGTATACCGACCTAGTCAGCTGTACAAGAAACCCCCAATCAACCATCGCTACTATTGTGGGCACCAAAAGACAATCAATGGAAGACTGTTCATAGCCAAAGGGTTTTAACTGTGTTTTACGAAACAAGATCGCACAAGTGATGGTAAGAGTTGAGATGACTCTTATTGTGTGAAAATGAAAACAGATACAGGAGATAGCGTCTCTCAAGCGATCATATTGAAAAGGCTAGGAAGTTGCAATGAGGGATTTAATTAAAAATATGCCTGCATCTAGTGATGATTGTGAGTGAATTTAAGGCCAGCAAAGGTTGTTTGAGAGATTTAAGAAGCGTAGTGGCATCCATAGTGGTGATAAGGCATGGTGAGCTGCAGTTCAGGACCACAAAGCGGCTGAAAAATATTGCAAATTCAAGGAGTACATAGAAACTGAAGACTGAAACCTAACAAGTGTTTAAAAATTGTATGAAACAGGCCCCTGCTTCTGGAAGAAAATGCCAAGCAGGACTACATTACTCAAGGAGGAATAAGGCACTCCCAGGACATACGCCTATGAAAGACAGGCTTACTCTTCTCATGTGTGCCAATGCTACTGGTGATTGCAAAGTGAAGCTTTTTTAGTGTATCACACTGAAACACCCAGACCGTTCAGGCAAAAGAATGTCCTCAAGGATAATTTGTGTGGCCTGTGGAGGGCAAACAGTAAGGCATGGGTTCACTAGGGAAATTTTCTGATAACTGGTATCACCCATGCATGTGCCCCCATGAGAAAGTTTCCTACGAAAAGAAAGTTATAACTTAAGTGCCGTCCTGGTGTTAGACAATGCCCCTGGTCTTCCTACAGACGTGGCAAGAGCGACTTTATAGGGGACCATGAGCTTCATTAATGTAAGTTTTTGCCCTCCTGACATACCACTCCTCTCCTGTCAGGCCCATGGACCAGCGGTTTATTTATTTCGCAACTTCCAGAAACTGGGGGTTTTACATAAACACAAAAGCTCTGTTTGAAAGTGCTTTGTAATGACCTCAGAACCCACTGACCTCAGAGAGTTTTGAGAGATCACTTTAATATCCATCAATTGTGTAAACCTATAGTAAGGCTTGGGAGAAGTAGACTAAGAGGACCTTGAACTCTGCTTGGAAGAAACTGTGGCCAGAATGGTAGAAAAAAGGGATTTTGAAGGTTTTGAGGCTAACCCTGAGATGATTATGCCATTTGAGGAATCCATTGTGGCATTGGGAAAGCCCTTGGGGGGTTGGGGGTTTTGTGGGAGGATGGGGAAAGAGGGGTGGAGGAAAATAAAGAACTAACCACTGATGAGTGATAGATCAACTTAAAGAGCAAGGGGCCAGACCGGGGGAAATGGTTCAGAGGAGGGGAAGAGAAATTGAAGAAGTTGCCTACTACAAAGAAAAAGGAAATCGTGCAAAGTGGCTTGAAGTGAAAACCCTTTCAGGAGAAAATCACCCCAAAACAGTATTGAAACCCGTGTTGGCAACCTGTCACGACAATGTTGTAAAAACCTTTAGGGAAGTCAAAAAGGGACGGAGGTAAGGCCCCACTAGGACAGATATTTTGTGCGAAAGAAGTCCAGTGACTCTAAGTCCCCCTAGTGGCATTAAAAGAAGAAGGGAAGTAACCCAGAAAGGATTTGCTACCTAAAGTCCTAATGGAAGGGGATTCCCCCTTCAAACAGTAAGAAGATAATCCTCCCCTCCCCCATCCATCAATCACACCAGATCTTCAATAAAATAAGTGTCTTTAAATGTGCATCCCTTTTTCTTTGTGTGTATTAAAATTAACATTCATGTGGTAAAAAAAAAATTTTTTCATATTTTTTGGGTGTCTTGAAAGGATTAATTTTATTTCCTTTTTTCTTTGGGGAAAATTCATTCACATAAAATTATTTCGCATAAAAATTACCCCTCTTGCACGGGGTTAAAAACGTTAAATGGGGGGCCCCCTGTATGAAAAACCATAGATGCCTTTTTTTTTTTTTTACCCCTTTTTGCTTTCTATGAATACAGGAAACCCTCGATATGAAAAAATTTTTTAATAAAGAGAAATTTCTGGGGGAAGTCCCTAATCATTAGATCTCATTAAACGCCAACTTTGACTGTCCTAATAGCAACAAAAACTTTGCCATTTTTAGGTAGGCGATGAAGTTGTGACATTTAAATTTATAAAAAATTTAATTCTTCAACTTGTTAATGTTTAGATTTTTTAAACCCTCTTTTAAAAAATTTTTTTTCAACATTTAAAGCAATGTTTTGTAAGTTCTTCATCAGTTTTGTATTAGGTATCAGTAAAGAATTTATTTTTTTTTTTTTTTTTTATCAGAGGTTTTTTGTTTTTTTCCTTTTAAGCATATTAGTAAGGAATGTGTTCATAATCTTATGATTTTTTTTTTTTTTATCACCCTCGATTGCTTTTGTCTTCTATGAGGCAGGGTACCCATAAAAAATGAACCACACTGCATTATTCTTCACTTTGTCTTGCCAGGACATGTGACTTACAATTTAGATACTTTGAAATGATTTAATTTGTGTTCAGTATTCAAAATGTTTTTAAAAAAGTAAAATTTATTTTTTTTAAAGCCTTTTTTTATTATTTAATTGCAAAAGATTTTCCCTTTTAGGTTAGAAGTGGTGACACGTCCAATGTTGCGGCATCCAGGCCCCGGGAAAAAGAAGGTGTACAGCATTGTACTCTCTGGTGGCTATGAAGATGATGAAGATAATGGAGACTCCTTCACCTACACTGGCTCAGGCGGCAGGGACCTCTCTGGTAATAAAAGAACTGCTGAACAATCCTGCGATCAGCAGCTTACTAGGATGAACAGGTAAAAGTTGCTAGATAAATGTTTATTAATACTATTATAATTTATTAATACACTGGCTGTACACAAATAACCCACACATAAGAGAGAGGATCTTACAACAGTCTGACTTGGACCATTTACAAAGTCATTGTGATTTTGTAAATGGTCCAAGTCAGACCAAAATGTCGTCATAAGCTCCTCTCTCCTATGTGCGGGTTATTTGTGTATTGTTCCAGTCACGGTATTGTGCCTTTTTGTTTTTTGCACTGACTGTATCTCGCTGAGGCAGGGTGACCCGAGAAACAAGAAACTTAACTTTTTCTTCTTGTTGCATTTAGTAATTTATACAGAAGCGGGTGTTACTAGCCTCTTGCTCCCAACATCTTAGTCATCTCTTATGACATGCATGACTTATGAAGGAAAGATTCTTATCTGGTTTCCCATGGAGATTTACAATAATATCAAATTTCATTTTGTATTGAGAGAATGTTTGGATAGGCAAACATATGTTGCCAGAGCTGACATTAGGTATTGTAAAAATGTGAATTTGTCCACTAGTTTGGAAGATAAGGTGTACCACACTGCAAAATTGTGTTGTAAGTAAGTAAGTTTATTCAGGTATACACAAATACAGTTACATAGAATTATCATACATAGCAGCATATGTGTAGAGAACCTAGGATAACCCAAAAAAGTCAGACAGAGTGACTTATTTCCATTGGGGTCCTTTGTAGCTAGATTATTATTATTATATTATTATTGTGTTATAAGATTTATTATTATAGGGAAGTGCTAAGCTTTTAAGTCTTGTACAGGTCCACCATCACAAATCCGGCAATCAGACATCCGGTTCCATCAGTTATTCAGCACTAATTTCGGCTAGCATAATTTCAAATTTCCAGGGTCACCACACCAACCTGCTGGTACTGTTTGGTGGCAGTACTTGCTGCATAAGTCATTCCAATTTCTTTTTCTCCATTTATTGTTATAACCTGCTTACTTTTAGTCCTAGCCATGGTTCCAACAAATAAAAGAAATGCTCTTCTATGTGTAAAGCACCTACACATTACATTGTCCATTAAAGATAAGGTGGCTTTGAAGCAACTGTCGGTTGCCATGAGCTCAGTCTCGTGATGCAAGGGAATATGCTTTATTATTACACTAATATCAACACTACAGCTTATTTGCATCACAATTGATCTAATATGATATAATAAACAATATAAATGACATAAAAACATGTTCAATACTCCAGAATAAATATTTGGCATAATACCAAGCAGTTTGATGGAGGTATATAGAGGGGCAACTGATATATCGGATCATTATTTAGTTGTAGCTACAGTTAGAGTAAGAGGTAGATGGGAAAAGAGGAAGGTGGCAACAACAAGTAAGGAGGAGGTGAAAGTGTATAAACTAAGGGAGGAGGAAGTTCGGGGGAGATATAAGCGACTGTTGGCAGAAAGGTGGGCTGGTGCAAAGATGAGTAGTGGGGGGGGGTTGAAGAGGGTTGGAATAGTTTTAAAAATGCAGTATCAGAATGTGGGGCAGAAGTTTGTGGTTATAGGAGGGTGAGGGCAGGTGGAAAGAGGAGTGATTGGTGGAATGATGAAGTAAGGGTGTGATAAAAGAGAAAAAGTTAGCTTATGAGAGGTTTTTACAAAGCAGAAGTGTTATAAGAAAAGCAGAGTATATGGACAGTAAAAGAAAGGTGAAGAGAGTGGTGAGAGAGTGCAAAAGGAGAGCAGATGATAGAGTGGGAGAGGCACTGTCAAGAAATTTTAATGAAAATAAGAAAAAATTTTGGAGTGAGTTAAACAAGTTAAGAAAGCCTAGGGAAAGTATGGATTTGTCAGTTAAAAACAGAGTAGGGGAGTTAGTAGATGGGGAGATGGAGGTATTAAGTAGATGGCAAGAATATTTTGAGGAACTTTTAAATGTTGAGGAAGAAAGGGAGGCGGTAATTTCATGCACTGGTCAGGGAGGTATACCATTTTTTAGGAGTGAAGAAGAGCAGAATGTAAGTGTGGTGGAGGTACGTGAGGCATTACGTAGAATGAAAAGGGGTAAAGCAGCTGGAACTGGTGGGATCATGACAGAAATGTTAAAAGCAGGTGGGGATATAGTGTTGGAGTGGTTGGTACTTTTGTTTAATAAATGTATGAAAGAGGGGAAGGTACCTAGGGATTGGCGGAGAGCATGTATAGTCCCTTTATATAAAGGGAAAGGGGACAAAAGAGATTGTAAAAATTATAGAGGAATAAGTTTATTGAGTATACCAGGAAAAGTGTACGGTAGGGTTATAATTGAAAGAATTAGAGGTAAGACAGAATGTAGGATTGCAGATGAGCAAGGAGGTTCAGAGTGGGTAGGGGATGTGTAGATCAAGTGTTTACATTGAAGCATATATGTGAACAGTATTTAGATAAAGGTAGGGAAGTTTTTATTGCATTTATGGATTTAGAAAAGGCATATGATAGAGTGGATAGGGGAGCAATGTGGCAGATGTTGCAAGTATATGGAATAGGTGGTAAGTTACTAAATGCTGTAAAGAGTTTTTATGAGGATAGCGAGGCTAAGGTTAAGGTGTGTAGAAGAGAGGGAGACTACTTCCCGGTAAAAGTAGGTCTTAGACAGGGATGTGTAATGTCCCCCATGGTTGTTTAATTATATTTATAGAGGGGGTTGTAAAAGAAGTAAATGCTAGGGTGTTGGGGAAAGGAGGGGTAGGATTAATTTAAAGGGGGAATCAAATACAAAATGGGAATTGACACAGTTACTTTTTGCTGATGATACTGTGCTTATGGGAGATTCTAAAGAAAATTGCAAAGGTTTAGTGGATGAGCTTGGGAGTGTGTGTGTAAAGGTAAAAGTTGAAAGTGAACATAGAAAAGAGTAAGGTGATGAGGGTATCAAATGATTTGGATAAAGAAAAATTGGATTCAAATTGGGGAGAAGGAGTATGGAAGAAGGGGAATGATTTCAGATACTTGGGAGTTGAAAGTGTCAGCAGAGGATTTATGAAGGATGAGGTTAATCATAGAATGGATGAGGGAAAAAAGTGAGTGGTGTGTTGTGGTATTTTGTTGGAGTCAAAAAATGTTATCTATGGAGGCAAAGAAGGGAATGTATGAAAGTTTAGTAGTGCCAACACTCTTATATGGGTGTGAAGCTTGGGTTGTGAATGCAGCAGCGAGGACGCGGTTGGAGGCAGTGGAGATGTCCTGTCTAAGGGCAATGTGCGGTATAAATATTATGCAGAAAATTCGGAGTGTGGAAATTAGGAGAAGGTGTGGAGTTAATAAAAGTATTAGTCAGAGGGCTGAAGAGGGGTTGTTGAGGTGGTTTGGTCATTTAGAGAGAATGGATCAAAGTAGAATGAATGGAGAGCATTTAAATCTGTAGGAGAAGGAAGGCGGGGTTGGGGTCATCCTCGAAAAGGTTGGAAGGAAGGAGTAAGGGAGGTTTTGTGGGCGAGGGGCTTGGACTTCCAGCAGGCGTGCATGAGCGTGTTAGATAGGAGTGAATGGAGACAAATGGTATTTGGGACCTGACGATCTGTTGGAGTGTGAGCAGGGTAATATTTAGTGAAGGGATTCAGGGAAACCGGTTATTTTTATATAGCTGGACTTGAGCCCTTTGGAAAGGGGGAAATACAGTCCCTGCACTCTAAACAGGGGTTTCGGGATATTAGCAGTTTGGAGGGATACGTTGTGTATCTTTGTACGTATATGCTTCTAAACTGTTGTGTTCTGAGCACCTCTGCAAAAACAGTGATAATGTATGAGTGAGGTGAAAGTGTTGAATGATGATGAAAGTATTTTGTTTTTGAGGATTTTCTTTCTTTTTTGGGTCACCCTGCCTCGGTGGGAGACAGCCGACTTGTTGAAAAAAAAAAAATTATGATTCTTCAGAGTACAGTACTGGATACATTACTATACTTTGAAGACAGGACTATATCCAGTACAGTACTGAATACAGCCCCACTGTGAGTGAACCTTCATAAAGTAAAGGTTTTTCCTATCTTTAAGTGGAATTACCTTTTGTATGGTTTCATGAAGGTGTAACCAATTAAGCAGAATGGCAGGTGTGATGCAAGAAAAAGAGCTTTATTAGAGAAAAGAAAACTCATTTTCTCTCAAGAGTTCTTTCATAGGTAACCTAGAGTAATATATGTACTACCAAAAGTAACTTATTAAGCTAATGTTTTAGTTATGGCCTATTTTTTTTATACAATGATGGAATAAATGTTGAGATATTGCTCATTTTTTTATAAATACTCTTCAATTTTATTGTTCAAAGTACTCCTTTTGAAGAACTTGTTCCAAGGAATTGGAGCTTTTGACCACTTGAATCAGACAGGATTATCTCCCTGTACTGGGTGCTGGATGATCCCTGTGGGTTAAGTGATTTCCTAGGAATACAATATATATAATAAGTATTTAAAGGACATTAAAGTAGGATTATAACTTGCTGATACTTATCCTCATCTTTAATGTAGTGTATACAAGAGTAACATACATGGATATTCTTTAACCCAGAATATGATTACTTTTAATCTTAGTATCCAGATGGTTACTTAGAAGCACAAAAAAGGGGAAAGAAGATAGAGCTGCTAATGAAGACAGTGAGATAGAAAATGAAGAAGATGGAAAAGGGAAGGGTAAATCAAGTAAGAGAAAAAATAACCAAAATTCATTTAATGAGGTAAGTGAGTCAAATTAAGTTGACACGTTGACTGGCTTCACTGAGAGTGCTGGTGGTGCAAATGTCTCTTTGCATCTTGCTTGTGACAGCAGAGTATAAAAAACATGCTCCGCAATGCTGAATGCCTCATACGGGCTTAGTGCTTGTTTATAACCCTTTCAGGGTCCCCAGGCCCTCTCCAAGACTTGTTCTCAGGGTCCCCCAATTTTTAAAAAAAAAAAAAATATTTTTCTCATGAAAAAAATAGAGAATCTTTTCCCGATCATAATGACACCAAAAGTATGAAATTTGATGGAAAACTTACGGAATTATGCTCTCGCGAAGTTAGCTGTCTCGACGATGTTTACGCATTGGCAATTTTGCCCACTTTGAGCCCTATTTTCGGCCAATTCCAGTGTACTAATCGACAAAAATCATAACTGTTTCGCTAGAACTCCATATTTTCTATCGAATGAGTACAAGAAACCACCCATTTACTGATTTCAACTATCCAATAAAGTGGTCAGAATTTAACAATTTTGCCAATTTCACACAAATTTCAAAAGATACCAATTTCTGAATAGGGTCCAGAATAAACAAGAAAGACATTCCTGGCACTAAAAATACAAGTTCTCTGTTCGTTAGTCACATCCTCAGGCCCCTCTTGCATTTCTTTGGCTTTCCACTTTGAATTTTTATTCTTACAAAAAATAAAAGATTTACTGTTATGCGGACTACTGCATTAGTGTAGAAATGGTATAAATAATATCAGCGCACTTGTGAAGGAATATTAGACTCACCAGTTGACGTGTATTGGACGCTTGGCATGATTTGTTTACTTTTGAACTTTGGTAAAAATCGAACATTTCTGCTACTTTGAGCTCAATTTCAAAGGGAAATTTTCATTGTTAAAACCAGTCAAAATCATCTCAATTTCTGTAATATGTCTTCCATTCTATAAAATGAGACCAGGAAAACTAAAATACAACAATAAATACCATACGAAAATACAGTGCAAATTCGCTGTTTTAATCCAAAAACGCGGTCAAAGTTTTTTTTCTCATTACGCACTGTGTGCTGCAGGATTTTTTTTACACTGTGCACACTGACCACATAGACCCATTCTTTCATATGTAGGCCTATTAGCTTTCTCTCACTAGATTTGAGGGCGCTAGAATTTAGGCGTTCTAGTACGTCAAAAACCCTGGGGCGTAAGACATACTAGTACGGCCGAAACCCTGAAAGGGTTAATGCTAATATTATTATTGCAGCCTCTCGTCACTTAGTGACGTACTCGTTTACCGACAACTCGGACTTACGACGGGCTCTTTGGCCAGTATTCATAACTAAATAATGTATGTTAGAGCTGATTTCCTCTATTCTGTTTATATTACAGTATACAGTACACTACTGTGTAAACATTTAAAAATATACCAGAAATGCTATAAATGGTGCAGAGGTGACAGTAAAACAATATCAAAGGTGGATGACACAAACCTACTACCATTATAGTGTGCTCCTCACTTAACGATGAATTTGTTTACCGACGAGGTCTTAGGAACGTAACTCCGTCATTAAGTGAGGAGAGGCTGTATTATAATAAACAAGAGGGAGGGAGTATGGAAGAATTGAATGTGTTCAGATATTTGGGATTTGACTTGTCAGTGGATGAGTTTATGAAGTATAAGGTTAATCATAGAATTGATGTAGAGAAAAAAAAAGGTGAGTGGTGCATTAAGGTATCTGTGGAGACATAAAACATTATCCATGGAGGCAAAGAAGGGAATATATGAGAGTATTGTGGTACCAACACTTATATGGGTGTGAAGCATGGGTTGTAAATGAGGGCTGAAGAGGGGTTGTTGAGGTGGTTTGGTCATTTAGAGAGAAAGGAGCAAAGTAGAATGACTTGGAGAGTGTATAAATCTGTAGGGATAGGAAAGGCGGGGTAGGGGTCGTCCTCAAAAAGGTTGGAGGGAGGAGGTAAAGGTTTTGTGGGCAAGAGGCTTGGACTTCTAGCAAGCATGCATGAGTGTGTTAGGAATGAATGGAGACAAATGGTTTTTGGGACCTGACAAGATGTTGGAATATGAGCAGGGTAATATTTTTGTAATATTTTTACAAAGTAGAAGTGATGCAAGGAGGGAAGGTATATGGAAAAAAAAGAGAGAGGGTTAAGAGAGTGGTTTAAGCATGTAAAAAAAGAGCAAATGAGAGAGTGGGTGAGATGTTATCAACAAATTTTGTTAAAAATAAAAAAAAGTTTGGAGTGAGATTAAACAAGTTAAGAAAGCCTAGAGAACAAATGGATTTGTCAGTTAAAAATAGGAGAGGAGAGTTATTAAATGGAGAGTTAGAGGTATTGGGAAGATGGAGGGAATATTTTGAGGAATTGTTAAATGTTGATGAAGATAGGGAAGCTGTGATTTCGTGTATAGGGCAAGGAGGAACAACATCTTGTAGGAGTGAGGAAGAGCCAGTTGTGAGTGTGGGGGAAGTTCGTGAGGCAGTAGGTAAAATGAAAGGGGGTAAGGCAGCAGGGATTGATGGGATAAAGATAGAAATGTTAAAAGCAGGTGGGGATGTAGTTTTGGAGTGGTTGGTGCAATTATTTAATAAATGTATGGAAGAGGGTAATGGTACCTAGGGATTGGCAGAAAGCATGCATAGTTCCTTTGTATAAAGGCAAAGGGGATAAAAGAGAGTGCAAAAATTGTAGGGGGATAAGTCTGTGAGTATACCTGGCAAAGTGTATGGTAGAGTTATATTGAAAGAATTAAGAGTAAGACGGAGAATAGGATAGCAGATGAACAAGGAGGCTTTAGGAAGGTAGGGGGTGTGTGGACCAGGTGTTTACAGTGAAACATATAAGTGAACAGTATTTAGATAAGGCTTAAGAGGTCTTTGTGGCATTTAGGATTTGAAAAAGGCATATGACAGGGTGGATAGGGGGGCAATGTGCAGGTGTATGGTGTAGGAGGTAGGTTACTGAAAGCAGTGAAGGGTTTTTACGAGGATAGTGAGGCTCAAGTTAGAGTATGTAGGAAGAGGGAAATTATTTCCCAGTAAAGGTAGGCCTTAGACAAGGATGTGTGATGTCACCGTGGTTGTTTAATATATTTATAGATGGGGTTGTAAGAGAAGTAAATGCGAGGGTCTTGGCAAGAGGCGTGGAGTTAAAAGATAAAGAATCACACATAAAGTGGGAGTTGTCACAGTTGCTCTTTGCTGATGACACTGCTCTTGGGAGATTCTGAAGAGAAGTTGCAGAGATTGGTGGATGAATTTGGTAGGGTGTGCAAAAGAAGAAAATTGAAAGTGAATACAGGAAAGAGTAAGGTTATGAGGATAACAAAAAGATTAGGTGATGAAAGATTGGATATCAGATTGGAGGGAGAGAGTATGGAGGAGGTGAATGTATTCAGATATTTGGGAGTGGACTTGTCAGCGGATGGGTCTATGAAAGATGAGGTGAATCATAGAATTGATGAGGGGGAAAAGGGTGAGTGGTGCACTTAGGAGTCTGTGGAGACAAAGAACTTTGTCCTTGGAGGCAAAGAGAGGAATGTATGAGAGTATAGTTTTACCAACGCTCTTATATGGGTGTGAAGCATGGGTGATGAATGTTGCAGCGAGGAGAAGGCTGGAGGCAGTGGAGATGTCATGTCTGAGAGCAATGTGTGGTGTGAATATAATGCAGAGAATTCGTTAGTTTGGAAGTTAGGAGGAGGTGCGGGGATTACCAAAACTGTTGTCCAGAGGCTGAGGAAGGGTTGTTGAGGTGGTTCGGACATGTGGAGAAAAATGGAGCGAAACAGAATAACTTCAAGAGTGTATCAGTCTGTAGTGGAAGGAAGGCGGGGTAGGGGTCTGCCTAGGAAAGGTTGGAGGGAGGGGGGTAAAGGAGGTTTTGTGTGCGAGGGGCTTGGACTTCCAGCAGGCATGCATGAGCGTGTTTGATAGGAGGGGAATGGAGACAAATGGTTTTTAATACTTGACGTGCTGTTGGAGTGTGAGCAAAGTAACATTTATGAAGGGGTTCAGGGAAACCGGCAGGCCGGACTTGAGTCCTGGAGATGGGAAGTACAGTGCCTGCACTCTGAAGGAGGGGTGTTAATGTTGCAGTTTAAAAACTGAAGTGTAAAGCACCCTTCTGGCAAGACAGTGATGGAGTGAATGATGGTGAAAGTTTTTCTTTTTCGGGCCACCCTGCCTTGGTGGGAATCGGCCAGTGTGATAAAAAAAAAAAATATTTTGTGAAGGGATTCAGGGAAACTTGTTAGCCAGACTTGAGTTCTGGAAATGGGAAATACAGTGCTTACACTTTAAGAGGGGTTTGGGATATTGGCAGTTTTTGGAGGGACATCTGAAGTCATATCAGAGTGCCTCTGCAAAGACAGTGATTTTGTATGAGTGATGAATGACGATGAAAGTTTTTTCTTTCTTTTTAGGTTTTTCTTTCTTTTTGGGTTGCCCTGCCTCAGTGGGAAACGGCTGACTTGTTAAAAAAAAAATAACACCCCGGGAGGTACTACCGTCCTACCAGGTGAGTGTAAAACGGAAACCCATGATTGTTCTACATGATGGTAGGATTGCTGGTGCCTTTTTTGTCTCGTAAACATACAAGATTTCAGGTATATCTTGCTATTTATACTTAGGTCACACTACACTTGCATGTGCAAGCATATATATATACACCCCCTCTGGGCTTTCTTCTATTTTCTTACTAGTTTTTGTTTATTTCCTCTTTTCTCCATGGGGGAAGTGGAGCAGAATTCTTCCTCTGTAAGCCATGCATGTCATAGGAGGCTACTAAAATACTGGGAGCAAGGTGCTAGCAACCCCTTCTCCTGTATATGTTACTAAATTTAAAAAGAGAAACTTGTTTTTCTTTTTAGGTCACCTTGCCTTGGTGGGATATGGCCAGTTTGTTAAAGAAAGAAAAAAATGAAAATGCCCAGTCATCATGGTCTTTCAAAGATGTCATTTCAATCAGCATTTTGATATCTCTTATGGTTTAGGTTATTAAACCAGATCATACACAGGTGTTTAGCCTAAATTCAGTCTGGTCTTGCTGGATTAGTATAGGTGACTTTCTTTGGGAGTTCACAGTATCATTTAGCAGTGAGTTTGAATTTGTACACTGTTTTCTTGTGCATTTAAACTTTTTTCTATAAATTTTCTTTGGTGTCACTGTGCTTTGATATATAACCCCATATCCTTTATCTGATTTTTTTTTTTTTTGTGTCTTCTCAATTAATATTGGTATAGCATTTTTGTGTGTGTGTGTGTGTGTGCGTGCATGTGCATGCACCTTAAACACTGACCGTCTCTCACTGAATGGTGACCTGAAAAACAAGGAAATGCGTTCACTATCATTCATTGAATGGCTGGCTTGCTAGAAGTGCACAAACCTCACAGTTCATATGACCTGAACTACAACATCCCTGCCCCTCCTTCAGAGTGTAGGCATTGTATTTCACACCTCCAGGATTCAAATCTGTCTAACCAGTATTCGTGAATCCCTTCATAACTATTACCTTGCTTACACTCCACTAGCAGGTCAAGCCATGAAAGCCATTTGTCTCCACTTTAATCTAGTAGGCTCACAGAAGCCTGCTGGATGCTCAAGCCATGATCACTTAATCTCTCCATTACCCCCCACATCTATATAAACTCTTCCTGGGACAGCCCGTATCCCTTCTCCTTTCCACTCCCAATTTGTATGCCCTTTTAGCCATTCTATTCTCCATCCTCTCTAAAGGCCATGACCATCTCTGAATTATAACTTTGGTGATCCCACACATCTTCTAATTTCTACACTTGATTCTATGTATAATATTCACACAACACCCTCAAACTTGACATCTCCACTGCCTCAAGTCTTGTAGGTTAGTGCTTCATTTTATATTATAATAATAATCCACTGCCTCAAGCCTCCTTGCAGCAATGTTTAAAGCCCATGCTTCACATCCATGTAAAAGTGTTGGTATTACTATATTCTAGTACATTTACACCCCTTTCCCTCAGATAAATGTATTTTGTTTCACAGTTGTGTTAACATACCACCTACCTCTTTTCCCTTCTCTGTTCTGTGTTGTACTTCATTTTTGTGTTCCCATTTGCTTAAATATTTCTTGCTAGCTTCATCCTTCTTTAATATTATTATTTAGAATCATCTTCCTGCTTAACTTAAATGAAATGAGCTTCATGGGTTTTTAGTTCATTCCTTAACTAATACAAGTTGGGCACAATATACATTTAATGAGAAATTACCTGTTAATATTCACACAATATGTCCATTTTTCTACAGCAGTAATGAGTTAATTTTGAGCTAGCATTGTATGTGCAGCTGCAAGACAAAACATTACAGTTAGTCATAAAATGTACAGAGGTCATATGTTGCCCACATAGAATTAATTAAACTTCTAAACTGGTGGGAATCTCTCTAAAACAGAGAATATACTTGATAATATATAATGTACATGAAATACATTTTGTTTATACCTTAAATAGGGCCAGGGATATAATAGTTTGTGTGTGTACTTTTCCAGTCCTGAATGTAGTTAACTTTTTGTGTTACCTTGAATTTTACTGGGCACAGACTGTGTTATATTTTGATAGAAACATAGAAATCAGAAGGTAAAATGTGGTTCCATTTGATATAATTTTTAATTTTGTCTAAAAAGTTAATATGTTGGTTACAGGGAATTGGATATTCTGAACCAAAGAAAAGGAAGAGTGTTGTTCATATTCTTGAAAAGGAAGTGGAGCACCTAATCAAAAAGGATGAAAGGAACAGCAAGCTTTGGAAAGAATGTAAAACTTTGCTTATAGAAGGTCGAACAGTAAGTAACTAATTTCTGTGGGGTGTGAATGTGATGCAGAGAATTTTTAGCTTGGAGATTAGAAGTAGGTGTGAGGTTACTAAAAGTATAGTTCACAGAGGTGAGGAAGGATTATTGAGGTGGTGGACATTTAGAGAGGGTAGAACAAAATAGTATGATTAGGAAAATGAATAAATTTGAAGTGGAGGAAAAGAAGGGTAGGGGTCATCCTAGGAAAGGGTTGAAGTAAAGGAGGTTTTGTGTGCAAGGGGCTTAAACATCCTGGTAGGTTAGGTAAGGTTCATCAGGAAACAGGACAAGCGTTTCCTGACATGGATCTTAGTCAGGTGATGACCCGCCATTGGAGCTTTTGGTCATCTGCCTGAGGCTTGCCGCTGGCTTACTGGTCCATCCCTTTAAAAATTATGGTCATAGTTATAACCATTTTTTATATCTTGGGTGTCCAACTGGCTTGTGTGAGTGTGTTAGGAGCTAGTCGATGATTTGATGTGCTATTGGAGTGTGAGCAACTTTAACATTGATTAAGAGATTTAGGGAAACCAGTTAGCCCTACTTGAGTCCTGGAGGTGGAAAGTACAGTGCATTGCCACTGTAATATCAGCACACCTTTTACAAGACACTGATAGACTGCATAATGGTGAGTGTTTCCTCTTTTGGGTCACTCTACCTCGGTAGGGAATGGCCAGCATGTTAAAAAGAGTTTGAAGAAAATCTGTATTTAGAATATGAATCTTAGATTGAAGTTAAAATTTATTTACTAGTAAAAATTTTTATTATTATTACTGTTTTTATTCATATGAAACTCTAAACTTGAAACTCATGAAGATCAGTCCTTTGTCAGCTAAGCAAAACACAGGTACCTTAACTGTGCTTTCATAGCTTACCGGTAAAATCAGAATTAAATCTTACTTCACAGTCTGGATCAGTTAAAAAATATTTTCCAAAAAGGATGGGTTTTAATATACAGTATGTTATGGTATTCATTTCATTAGAACACTAAATCTAATTTGATGATTGGTTTTTGCAGCAATTCTTGAATGGTGTGGAGGAAAGGTTCTTGTGTGTGTGCTGTCAAGAGCTAGTTATCAAGCCAGTCACTACTGACTGCAAGCACAATGTGTGCCAACCTTGCTTGCAGCGTTCTTTCAAAGCTGATGTGTTCACGTGTCCAGCCTGCAGATATGACTTAGGCAAAGACTATCCTATGGACATCAACAAACCACTTAGCAAATGTCTTGTAGCACTTTTTCCTGGCTATGATGCAGCACGTTAGATTTTTGCAGAGGTACCCTTTACCTTCTCTCAGTTTTACTGAAGGAATATGGTGTAATCAAGAAGGTTATTATTCTTGATAATAATACTGTACAGAAATTGGTTTCTTAAACTTATAACTATGTATATGGTTATATTCTCTGCATCCCCTTCTCACCATATACTTGCCTAACAGTTTGTAGGGGAGAAGAGGCAATCAGTTTCTAACTCCTGGACCAGTGGTTGTGCCAAGGGGAAGGTTATGGGACTTCAGCCTCCCCTAAACCCGAAAATAAAAATAGTAATAATGCTGTTTCAAAGCAAGTCTCCTAGTCCCCCTACCATTGAGGTAGCCACTCATAACCCTCCCAATTCAGTAATTCTGGCACTGCCCCAGTCTTGGACCATACCTCATTACCATCAACCTACCATATGATGTGTTCCATGAATTCATGAATGTAATTTGTCTACCTAACAAGGGAAAAATAAAATGAGTGACCAGCTCGTACATAGAAAGGGAAATAATACATATTTTTTTATGTTAGTGCTTTATTTCATGGTTACAGCCAGGACCATACACTCGTACACTAAAAATATTACTGGTTAACAGTCTCAAATAGTAAAATTTATCATGAAATTTGAGGCTAATACAAAATTTTCTCATCTGTAAGGTGAGTAATGGTAACCTATATGTTAAGAGGACAAAATGTACATGCAAATTATTTAATATTTTGTTTAGTTAACATTTTAATGAATTTTTTACTGTACTAGTGTTAATGAATTTTCCTGGTATCCTGTATAAGTGTATTTAGTAATTGATATTATAGCATGTTAACCTGCCTTGGTGGGAAACCCAGTCAAAATTTATTTAGTTATAATCATTACGATTTAAGCATCGATAATAATAGCTCAGTCAGTACTGATTTTGAGAGTGCTAAATTCTTAGAAATTATAGTCTGAGTATTTATAAACATGTTGCATATTTTTAATGCCGTTAACTTTACAAAAAATTTACTTGCAAGGCAGTAGTAATGTCTGTATTGATTGTTTTTTATGTTTTATTGTATTTTTTAAATTTTAATGAAACCTAGAAGTAAGTTACTTTATTTTATTGTGCTTTGTATTTACAAAATACTATATATTGTAGGTGAGCTTTGCTAAAACATTGGTATTGATTGACTGTCTAAACTTGTATCTGGACAGGTAAATTATTAAAGGGGAAACTGTCTTAAATTATTATTATTACAACTTCATAATAAGTACAGTACTTGCACTCTGACGGAAGGGTGGAGATACTGTATTTGGAGAGTCAGCAGAATAGCGATGTCAGCATGCTTCAGGCAAGACAGTGAGTGAATGAGTGATGGTGAATGCATTTCCTCTTAAGAGTCACCTTACATTGGGTTATTCAGTGTTACAGGTGTCTAGAGAGAGATTTTAAGGAAAGATTTTGTATGTTTTTTTTTTTTTTTTTTTTTTTTTTTTTTTTTTTTTGCAGTTTGATTTAAAAACCGAATTGTTTTTACATTAGCTTTAAGTGCTAAACTTCATAGGGGTCATGCAGCACCTGGAGCTTGGGAGGCAATCAAATTTAATCCAAGGAAGGAATGAATAGCTCCAATTCCTTGAATAAAGAACTTGTCTCCAAGAATCCCTTCCCCTGCTGCCTTTTCATTGAAAGGGTTAAAATCAAATCACATGAATGATCTTTGATGGGGAATCACATGAAACCCTGAAAATGTATACCAAAGATTACACATTTTTCATTAAAAACTTTGTCTTCATAATAGCTTTTGTTAATTCAAAATGTTTAAATAGCAATGCCACTAATAATGCGAGGAGGATAAATAAACTTTTATGTAATATATTTTATGTATCAGGTAGTGATGTAAGGAAAATACAATAAACTGGCATGTACTGTATATAAACCAGGTATTGTCTGTTGTTTCTTGACTTCTTAAATAAAGATAGAAATTGTAGCCTGCATCTCTTTGGACCTCCCTATTATTATTACAGGTATTACATCCATGGTCAGCACTAAACCTGTAGAGGGTCAGTGCCTATGGCTCAATTCAAGGAAATGGAGCTCATTAATTTCCTTAGAACAAGAGCCCCTCAACAGCATCAAGGACCAGACAAGCCTGGCCCATGGCCGTGCTCTGAGAGTAGTGAAACTCTTCAAAGACAAAGATATAAGAAACCTTCCTTGAGAGGCCTAGTATTCTTGGCTTTTGTTATTCACATAATTGCCTCTGTTTTGCTCATTTTATTACATTCATAGTGAGCACAGGCTGTAGGGATAATAGTGCTCATTTTGTCCTTTTTATTGTTATTAGACAAATATCTATTATAGTCACGGGAAAGCTTATTACTAAATTCATCGGGAGTTACAGTCCATAGTTTTGATTGTAATCATAATAAGTGCTAAACCCACAAAGGTTATAGATTAACTTACGAAGTGCATACAAATAAACCACTCTGCTTTGTGATCAAAGTAAGCTATTGGGATTATTACAAGGAACTCAGAATGAGTTCAAGTTCAAAGAATGCTACACAAGGGTCAATGAAGGCTGCATTTAACTGGCTACTGCCAAGTACAGTGGACCCCTGGTTATCCGCCATAATCCATTCCAGAAGGTCAGCCGATATGGGAAATATTAATTCGGCTAAGAATTAATGGAGATACAGTGGACCCCCGCCTTACGATCAGCTCCCAACTCGATTAATTATGTAAGTGTATTTTTGTAAGTGCTTTTGTACGTGTATTTTTGAGGGTCTGAAACGGACTAATCTAATTCACAATATTCCTTATGGGAACAAATTCGGTCTATAACGGCACCCGAACAGACCTCTGGAATGAAATAATATCGTAAGGCAGGGGTCCACTGTACAATTAATCCGTTCCAAACAAAAATATTCACAAAAAAATAATTTTTTTTAATTATGTAAGTACAGGTCTCCCTCAACACTCACGAGGGTTAGGGGATCAAGAGCCTCGCGAATGTTGAAAAACCGTGAATGTTTGGTGCCCCGATATATTGTAGGGAAATATAATACAATACTGCTTCCTTAACTTGTTGAACCATGAACAATCATAAAATGCATGAAAACGCCGTAAATTGCACTAAATACATACGTTATGCCTTAACAACATGTATGTTATTAAATACCACTGCCTCCACCACTACTACCCTCCCTCCGACCCCCCACAACTGGCAGCCAGCCCTCCCACCACTGTGTGGTGAGTGTTTTGTTTGTTCATTATTTGCTATTAAACTACAGTATAAATAATGTCAACCAATTTATGACTGCATATTGGAATGGCTATTCGGACAGGTATTGGAAGGTGACATCATGTGTTTACTCTTGAACACAGCAAAGAATCAAACATTTGTGCTACTGCTAATAATAATAATACAGTGGACCCCCGCATACCGTTGGCATCACATAACGTTAAATCCGCATACCGATACATTTTATCGCTAAGATTTTGCCTCGCATACCGCTAAAAAACCCGCTTAACGCTATTTGTCCGAGACGTGTCTAATGTGCGGCCTGAGCCAGTCTCACATGTTCCGCCGGTGGCATTGTTTACCAGCCAGCCTCCGCGGTAACATCCAAGCAACAATTGGAACATTTCGTATTTTTACAGTGTTTTTGGTGATTTTATCTGCAAAATAAGTGACCATGGGCCCCAAGAAAGCTTCTAGTGCCAACCCTACAGGAATAAGGGTGAGAATTACTTTAGGGGATGAAGAAAGAGATCTTTGCTAAGTATGAAAGTGGAGTGCGTGTCTCTGAGCTGGCCAGGTTGTATAGTAAACCCCAATCAACCATCGCTACTATTGTGTCCAAGAAAACGGCAATCAAGGAAGCTGTTCTTGCCAAAGGTTCAACTGTGTTTTCGAAACAGAGATCGCAAGTGATGGAAATGTTGAGAGACTTTATTGGTGTGGATAAATGAAAAACAGATGCATCTCTCAAGTGATCATAAGTGAAAAGGCTGGGAAAAGTTGTTGAGGATTTAATTAAAAAAAATGTCTGCAACTAGTGTTTGTGAGTGAATTTAAGGCCAGCAAAGGTTGGTTTGAGAGATTTAAGAAGCGTAGTGGCATACATTTGTGAAAAAGGCATGGTGAGGCTGCCAGTTCGGACCACAAAGCAGCTGAAAAATATGTGCAGGAATTCAAGAAGTACATAGACAATGAAGGACTGAAACTGAACAGGTGTTTAATTGTGATGAAACAGGCCTGTTTTGGAAGAAAATGCCAACGGAAACCTACATTACTCAGGAGGAAAAGGCAACCCCAGGACATAAGCCTATGAAAGACAGGCTTACTCTGTTGATGTGTTCCAATGCTAGTGGTGATTGCAAAGTGAAGCCTTTATTAGTGTATCACTCAGAAACTCCCAGACCCTTTAGGCAAAAGAATATCCTCAAGGCTAAATTTTTGTGTGCTGGGAGGGCAAACATAAGGCATGGGTCACTAGGGACTTTTTCTATGACTGGTTACACCAAGCATTTCCCCAATGTGAAAAATTACCTAACTGAAAAGAAATTAGACCTTAACTGCCACCTGGTGTTAGACAATGCCCCTGGTCATCCTACAGACGTGGCCCGAGCGGACTTTAAAGGGGACATGAGCTTCATTTAAGGGGAAGTTTTTGCCTCCTAATACCGCTCCTCCCTGCAGCCCATCGACCAGCAGGTTATTGCAAACTCCAAAAAACTGTACACAAAAAACTCTGTTTGAAAGGTGCTTTGTAGTGACCTCAGAAACTCAATTGACTCTAAGAGAGTTTTGGAGAGAGCACTTTAATATCCTCAATTGTGTAAACCTTATAGGTAAGGCTTGGGAGGAGTGACTAAGAGGACCTTGAACTCTGCTTGGAAGAAAATGTGGCCAGAATGTGTAGACCAAAGGGATTTTGAAGGGTTTGAGGCTAACCCTGGGAAACCTATGCCAATTGAGGAATCCATTGTGGCATTGGGAAAGTCCTTGGGGTTGGAGGTTAGTGGGGATGATGTGGAAGAGTTGGTGGAGGAGGACAATGAAGAACTAACCACTGATGGGCTGCTAGATCATCTTCATCAGCATGAGGCCAGACCTGAGAAATTCTTTCGGAGGAGGGGAGAGAAAATTGAAGAAGTTGCCTACTTCAAAGATTAAGGAAATGTGTGGAATGTGGCTTAAAGTGCAAAAACCCTTTTTTTATGACAATCACCCTAAAAACAGCTATTGCAAGCCGTGCTGGTGACTATTACACTGACAATGTTGTGAAACCCCTTTAGGAAAGTCATAAAGAACGGGAGGTTCGGCCTCTATGGCAGATATGTTGTGCAACAGAAGTCCAGTGACTGAAGCTGGTCCTAGTGGCATTAAAAGAAGAAGGGAAGAAAACCCCGGAAAAGGACTTGCACCTCAAGTCTTAAGGGAAGGGGGAAATTCCCCCCTTTCTAAACACAAGACTCTCTCCTCCCCATCCCATCAACCACCAGATCTTCAAAAAAGGGTAAGTGTAAAGTATTGTGCATGTCTTTTTCATTTGTGTGTTTTAAAAATTAATTTTTTAAATGTGGTAAAAAATTTTTTTTTCCAAAACTTTTGGGGTGTCTTGCTGGATTAATTTGTTTTCCATTATTTCTTATGGGGAAAATTCTTTCGCATAACGAAAAATTTCGCATAAAAATGAGCTCTCAGGAACGGATTAATACCCGTTAGGGGTGGGGGGGTTTCCACTGTATAATAAAAAATAATAATAATAAAAAAAATTTAAAATACATGTAGAAAAAGCCTTTTACTGTCTGCACAGACACCCCCATCCCTGTCTGCCAGCTTAGTTCATTTTTCGCCCTTTGCGGTTTGCCACCTTGGGCCCTTGCCACTTCAGTATGCCCCGACTTCCCTCACCCTCACTAAACACAGGGGGCCTAGCGCAAGACACAAGGCCCCCCAGCTCTCTCTGGGGGGGAGGGCCCTCCCCGGGGCCCAGGGGCAAAACACACAAGCCTGGAAACCCACCACGATTTTAACAAAAAGTAAGAAGCCTCCAAAAACGTATCTTTAAACCCACCCGTTTTCAAAAGCCCCCCAAACAAACCCGTTATTTTTGGTCCCCAGCGGGGGCCCGCACAGTTGTTTTCCCCAAAAGCGGGGAAGGAAGGGGGAATGAAGTCATCTTCACTTCATCATCCCATGCAAGAACACCCCTTCTCACAAGTTATCCTGATGTCGGTCTGCACTTTTGAGCATCCAGACACAGGTAAAGCAGGATCCATTCGAAAATTTGCCCGAAATTCTCCGAGAATTGTAAGTGGCTAAACAGTGCCCCCCACGCTAAAACGGTCCCACGCTTTTTCTCAATCCGTGTTCGCGTCATTTGAAATTTTTTTGTTGTTTTTCAGCCAGCAAAACCCCTTTCAGCAAGCCGGGGTTTAATTTTTGGCTTTTTTCTTTTTTTGGTCCATGTGATTCTCTACTTTAATTTTGTGGGTGGGGGAGGAGGGGAGGGGAAGGGGCTGTTCCTCCCCTTTTGCCCATCCCTCACCCTACTCACCCCAAAAAACCCGTCTACCATACACCACTAAACCACTGCCCATTTTCCCTCGGTGTGTTTTCTGCTGTTTTCCATGTAATTCATTGCCAGAGCTGGGGTACTGGTGCCCGGGGGCCCACTCAAAGCAAACGTGGTAAAGAAACCACTAATCACACACCCCCTGGACAGGGACACCACGTGGATAAACGACGCCACGTGGGTGGGGGCAGGTCACATGGATCTACCCAGCCACTTGAGTTCCCAAAGTTTGCCCCCAGGCCCCCAAGTTTGGGGTTCTGCTGCCCGCATCACTTTGGACGTCACCCACGATGCGGGCCCACTTCATAAACATCACGATGTCTCCCTGACGTCCCCTCGAGATGTCCCCTGACGCCCACCTCAAGAGTCGCTACGTAAACCTTGAGAGGGTCTTTTTTGACGT